CTTGTAAGTGACCGCCTCTTTTTTTTCTTTCATTGCACCTACAATTCGACCCGGGTGGGAGAGGTCTGGCAAACCCTGCACAGCCCCAAAGAGCAACTTCGGAAGGTTCCAATAAGTAGGGAAATATTCACGTCTTACCTTGTTCATTCTGCTAAACCCCGTTAATAAGGAGGCCTGGACTGCCTCTATGTATACCCCCCCCAAAATGCAATTTGCTTAAAAGTATTACAGAGGTGAATGCACAATTGTTTAAGAAGGTGAAGACAGGCTTTCTGGGCGTGTGACAGTTTGTAAGGTTGGAAGGAAGGATGGACGGTCCACTCACCCCGTTCACGCCGGGGAAATGGAAGGACACACGGCCCCCAGCGATGCCACATGTGGAGGCTGCCGTGGGGCGGACGAGCCCTCGACCCAGCGCCCGGAAATGGGGGCTCGCCGCGATGCACCCCCATGCCACAGAGGCTTAAATGGGGAGTAAGGCTGGGCTTGCAATATTCTTGCAAGAGGACTTGGGCTGAAAACCTGATTTGAAACTTCCACCCGCTCTGAATTTGTATCAAACTGATTTTGCTATGAACAACAACAATAATAATACCTAGATCATTATGATACCTAGATCACTTTTCATCAGTAGATCTCCAACAGGCGTTATAAAGACCATCAGTAACAACACTCGTGTTGTAGAGATGGGGAAACCGAAGCACAGACTGTGTCCGAGGGAGCACGGGCAGAGCTCAGTCGGCCGAACCCCTCTCCAGGCCACTCTTCTTCCCTGTGTAGACAGGAGAGCATCGGCGGTTGTGAAGTCAGATTTTTTGGGCTGGCCTGTGCTCTCGTGGCAGAAATCCCATTAAATTCAACTCTGGAGACATGCCTCTGAAACTAGAGTTTCCACACTGTTTCAATTCGGTTAGTTCCCGTGGGACGGCTGTACTTCCCCCTCTGGATGTGACTGCACTTCTTTTGCCTGTGGCCGTGCTTCCGAGAGACCATCTTGTTATATCCCCAAAGGGGAAACTGAAAATTAGAGGCATTCATACCTGTAGTTAGTCTGAAATCATTTAGGGCAAAGGCGGCAAAGAAAAAATATCAACTATCTGTTTTATTTTTAAAAGGCCTTTAAAAAATGAGGAGTTATTTTCCTTCACTGGCTTGCACAGAAGTTCAGACGACTGCAGGCACTGCAATTTAGGAAACTGAAGAGGGTTTTTAATCTGCTTCCACTGATAATTCAAGGCCTTGGTCTTCAAAGCACTGAATGTATCTGTGCCCAGCTACAAAAAGTGCCGGCACCTGCATCTACAAATCACAGATATCTGCTCTTTGGGGACCGTGCAGACCACAGAGCCCAGAAGGAAGCAGCCAGGGACAAAACACTCACCGTCAAGGTTGCTGTGAGCTTCCAGAGGAAATCAGACAAACGCAGCCTGAATTGCTTCTATGAAATGCTGCAAAACTTTCCTCTTTTACAAGATTTTCCATCATAACCAGGACACATGCACAGTATCAACCATTCCCCTTCCCACTTAAAGAAAAAATATTCTGCCCCCAAGCAGAGCTTTCTCAACCCAGAGAGGCCAGAGACTCCAGGAAAGCCACCGGGGATTATGCTATTACCAGTCTAATTACCGCAGAAAATGCTTACATGTAACAACGAGAGATGGTAGAACAGACCCAAAGGTAAAATCCGGGGGGAACTTTTGAAGCAAGCAGATCATCAGAGACTTGTTCTGCCTGCAGGGAAGGAGAAAAGACGCCCTGAGTGAAGTCATCTGGATTTACTAAAAAAAGAAGAACCAAGCAAACAAGCAAAAAAATCCCCCCAAACCCACAAAACACAAAAAATACTTCTTCGTTTTGTTAAGTTTACATCCGGTGCTCTCCAAAATTGCAATTTCTTTCTTGGGTCTGATCGACCGCTAGAGTTTTCCAAGTCTTTCAAAGAAGGCCTGAAGGCCTCTCTGAGCTGGAAACGCAGACACAGACCTCATGGCGATGTGAACCTTCACATAGTCGACTGTGGGAAGCTTTAGGGAAAAAATCAAGTCCCACCAGCACCCAACCCCATTTTCTACACACCAAAAATAAGCCTATTTCAGCACAGGCAAATTTTTCTAGAGCAGGCAGCCTGGCAATTAGCTAAAATACTGTTAGGTGCCCTCTCCTCTGGTTGCGGTGAGTATTCAGACCTCTGTCCTTCCCTTGTTGCCAGTTTTACCTGCGAATTTTCATGCAGGGAGCAGAGTGGAATGTATTGTTATTGTAAATAACACACTAGAACATCTTTTTATTATTGTCCTTCCAAGTCTTTCATATTTTTGCAGCCCACATGGACTCTCTTGGCCCAGCCACAGAGGAGGGACCTTTTGTGCGAGATGATGTAACCACGCTTTTTTATTAAAAACAAAACCATTCCCTGCCCATACAGCTTCCAATGTGAAGAGAGCAGCAAAACAAACCTCAGTATGAGGACCAGGTACCATGAGTCACCTCCCACCTGGATGGAGAGCAGACCACTTACAAGCCATCTGGAGAAGGAGAGACTAGCAAGTGGTCTATGTCAGAGACCGCTGACAACACTAAGCAAAACCAGGGCTTGGAAGCCCTGAGGTTGAGCTGGCAGTGATCCCTATTCAGCAGAGCATGCAGACGGTACTCGAGCAGCTGGGCAGTTTTCAGACATCTCAGCTTCTGCTCGTGGTTGCGTGGACCTTCTCACCACGCAGCAGGGCGCAGCTATCTCTTGTTCGCCTTGTGGCACCTACCGTCTAGAAGTGAGGTCCTAGGAATGCAACGCTTTATGGTAACCAGTAGTTCAACAAGGTGAGCTCTGTTTTGGGGGAACGCTACCTTGGCTTTGGACTTTTATCTCAGGAGCAACCACGTACAGCCAGCTATAGGTCACCAACTGTCCTTCGGGAGACTCTAGCTATCACGAGTCTTTCACCTGAATGCTAAATTTCTCCCAAAGCATACTGCAGTCCAGCACTCAAATCTCTACATACACATTGCTTCCAAACCAAACTGAAACACTCGACAACAATCAGCATTTCAGGAAAAATAAATGAAAAACATAGAAACAGTTTAGGTGAAAAGAATGTAATTACGCACAGTGATGAACAGTTCACCAGGATCAGCACTGTACACAGAGAAGGAAAAAGGAGGATTTCTAATCACATGAGCCATTATGTTTTATGCAGTTACTCCAAAATACAGTTCGATATTTTAATATTATTTTATTTAGATAGTGTAAGGAAGTTCTTAAATCATTTGTGGTCTCTTCTGTACTGTAAAAAAGCCCCCAATTACCCTACTTAGATATCAAAGATGAAGCTACGGAAGCCTTTTAAGGATGGATTTTAGCACGCAGTATCTAAATTCCTGGCAATAAAGCCTCATTTTCAGAAAATAAGTATAATTTAAATTGAAGTCTCTCACATGATTTGTCCAACACTGCACTGTTGCACATCTAATATTGCTCTACTGTTGGCAGAATTACGTTTCTCTTTCAGAAACATCTGAAGTTCAACAGCGTCTTCACCTCTGACTAGGACTCATATCAGCTTCTAAGGTCTAAAATAGCAAATAAGACAAATCCTAACGTGAATGATGTGATGCCAGCCCGCTGGATAAATATGCCCAAGGCAAGATGAAGCCAGTGTCGCAGTTGTTTAACCTAGCATTTGCTTTTCCACAGTAGATGGAGCATATGAGGTCCTTAGCACGTCTGTAGCTCTGGTGTGAAACCGAGGTCAGTGTGTGTTTCTGGGGTCCCTTTCAGTCTCGATGCATAGGGGACACAACAATCTGCTTCAGCTTCTGAGCTCAGAGAGCTTTTGAAGGCAGGCTGCGTTGAAAGCTTTGAGGGCTGGAGGTATCTTCAGGTCAGTCACTGGTTTTGACCAAAAGGGAAGCCACTGCCTTTCTTAACAGCCTTAACCAGTTTATTCTGAGATGAAAGTTACTTAGTAACTATAATTATCCTGGGACTCTTTGCTTAAGTTAAACAGGCCTCTTCGACCCAGGGAGGGTAATGCTTCTTCATCCAAATGGGTAAATAGAGGCACAGAGAGGCAGGCAAGGAACCAAGGTCACTTCATGAATTATTAGCATTTTAGAGATGCAGTTCATAGGCTGCTGCTTGATCATGAGACTTCTGTGCAGCTGTCTGAGGCGGACGGACGGGACGGGTGTGCAAACTGCTGTCTTAGACTTCAATGACAATTAGTATCTTTGAATAAATCAGTCCTTTAAGAAAAATATCATATGTAAAAATGGAAAAAATAAAAAAGCCAAAAAAACCCTCCCTTCCCAAATGATAGCTTCTGGGCTTGCTCATGAAAAATTAGCCATTTGTTTAATTGAAAAGAGCAATTTATCAAGCAAATTTCCTTGTAGCAACCAGAGACCTTTCAAAACTTGATTGCAGTTAATATGCCAGTGTTTCAAAGCATTTTATTCAACTATCAAATAAGCTAACGAAGACCTTTAATTTACTGTTGAAATACACAGCAGGCTGAGCAGGTTGGACATTTCCTGCTCCCAGGGCAGCTGAGGTGAGGAGGAGACCTCGTGGCTGCAGCAGATCCTTGTGGCTGCCTCTGGATAGAAGAGATGAAACAGGACATAGCTATCACGTACAGCTAGACATAGCAACTACCAACTGCAACATGAACCAAATACAAAAAACTCGCCGAACCTCAGACCACCACAAAGCGGCCGGCTAATACCATCCCCATGCAAGGCAAGCAGGATTTGCTCAACCTTGGCCTGTGAGAGGCCAAACTTAAAGACTTGATTCTGGAGTTTCAGTCCAATTCCTACCTCTCTTTAGCTACCGACTGACAAGACTTGTTCACGTCCTTGATTCAAACACTCTCACGAATCCCTTATTCTTAGTAATGAGTAGATGCCTTAATACATTGCTCCCATAAATTTACTGGAAACATTCAAAGTCTGGAAGGGAAAACAATTATTAACAAAAGAGAGGTAAGGTAATGCAGGTATTGCTGAACCAAAACATTATACGACCTTAGAGCCTAAAGATGCCTTGCCAAGATGCTGATCGCACGCTGGTTTCCTGACCAGGGGAGCTTCTTTGACTTATTTGCTGTAACGAACAGCATATTGGTATGGACCCAGTTCAGCTTGCTGGCTCTGCACAAAGCCAGGTGAAGTGGCCAAAGTCACGTCCACTTCCTCAAGGCTGAAACTCATCGTTTATGCAAAATCGAGACAGTGTGGCTCAGGCTGTGGGAGGGGTGTCTTCACAGCTGCTAGGAGGTGTTAAAGATGACCTCATCTTCTCCTTTACTTCTGGTATTTAAATTCAAGAAAATATCCCCCTCTCCTATCCTGCCAGCCTCTTAAAGATCAACACATCTGCAAACACATTCTGCACACCTAAGGGAAGAAAGCCAGATTGCAGCCTGCCTTATCTCTTCTGACTTGCTAAACGCATTTCAGACCTCGAGCATCACATGACTGTACATAATGTGTGGATACAATAACTAATGTGGCTTTCATAACGGATCAGCAGGGATCAGCAATGTTGAACAAACACCCTTATTTGCAAAAGCACCTTCTGAGCCCATGAAGCAGGTGACCTTGTCTCAAAAGGTTATAGTGTGAAGTTAATGATCCGCAAATTAAGGATTAGAAACTCGGGTGAAATTCATCCACAGCTCCCCCTTAACCTTGCTGTTTTGCATTGAATCAAGCAAACACTGTCACTGCTCTATAGAAACCTAGCGCAATAAAAGAGTCCAGCTCCTGGCAGCTCAGAAAGCAGCAGACAATGCTCTTTCTGCAAGAAGGCGCCTGCTGGTAGGGACAGGATTTCATGAGAAAGCATAGATCAATATCTTGTTGAATGCCTTTTGTTGCATCTCCATATGAAGAACATACCGTGCTTCTTCCTGATTGCAACACCCACGGGAGATACTCAGGGAGTGGTAGACTAGGTATATGACTCCGCAGCAATTTGGAGACTCCTGAAGAGCAGGTCAAAGCATAAACTAGTAACCTCTTCCACAGCTGTTTTCTATATTCTGGGAAGATCCTATTGCACAGGAAGAAATCCTATATGCTCTGCTGGTCCGCAGGATCTAGTCATCCACGAGGTTTAACTCTGGACGAAATATCACATAGGAAAATTCCCTGCATGCTGCCTCTCACATTCTCAATAATTTATCCAAATAAATTATATTCTATATCTTGAAGAGGAGAAGGCCTTATTTTCCCATGTATTTGCAGAGTAGCCTTATGTGCACAGGAGGCAGTACCCTTCTGACCAAGCTATTCTTCTGTTACGACTGGTGTAGCTAAGCCAGGCCCACAGGGTTTTGCTCAGGACTGCCATTTACACTTGAGGACCCATTGAAGCTGCTGAAGTTGGCATAGCTGCTGGGTAAGGATGAGCCCTGCGGCTCCTCTAATTTTGGATGTGGGCCTGCAAGTGCTTTGCTCTTTCCTTGCTGGGGCGTTTTTGGCTGTGGTGATGTACTTGGTGCCGTTGAAGCTAGCTTTAGAAGCTGCAACCTGCCCTCGGAGACTAATTCCTACATATTTGTTGGACTAGTCCATGCTTTTCTCTCTAGCTCCAGATGGACAGGGAGCTCCTGTGATGGAAAATTAACAAGAAGGAAGTAGAAGATATTGGAAAGGCACTCTGACTATGACCTGCCCCCTTTAAGAGAGGCGGAGGCGAGCGGGCAGGAATTCTGGTTCGGCAAGGCAGCTTTGCTGGAACAAAGCAGAGCCTGTTGGTCACTGGTCTGCGAAAGGCAGCGGGCCTGAGCCGGCATGCCCGGGCTTCTCCGCAGGAGCTCCAACGGGGAAGCAGCCCTGTCTCCCTAGCAGCCTCCGTTTCCTCTGGCACGTTGTGAGCACCATCTCCTCCATTCCCTCCTGTTTGTCTTCTTCAGCAGACTCTTTTTACATGATTACTTTGAGATAAATGAGCCCTCCCAGAGTGATTCAGCAGATAAAGCTGGGCTGTTCCCGTAGTCTCCGATGTGGGCTCTTTCTTCAAGTAGCTCGCCCCATTCGACTCCGGATGACACATTCCAGCAAATACTTGAAAAAACTCTCATCCCCTTGTTGCTCAAACCAGGATAAGATTTTTAACTCATTGTTTTCCCTTGAAAACAGCAGCACACACAGTAACTACTCTCATGCTCTGCATAGAGTTTAATATTAGAGATAAACCAAAACAAAATGAGGGACAGAGAAAGAAGACATGAAAATCGCTGCACAATTAGGAAATGCACACATATTTGCCTGCAGAAGGTCTGCTTCTGTAGTGCTTGCTTCAGGCTCCAATTTGCAAGTGCAAAAATAATGGAAATCTCACCTATCCATGAACAGGATACGTCTGCAGAGAACTATATTTTTGCACCTTTGGGGGTTGCATGTTCCACTAGATGACCAGTAAATACTTTTATTTGGTTTATACACCATATTTGTAGATTCATAGATACCACAGGGGAGGAGTTGCCGAAGCAAATTCAGTGATGAACGCAGAGCTGCAGAACTGGACCATCTTGCCTCGAATCCTGCTTCTGACAGCAGCAAATGCAGAATGTCAAAATAAGCCATTTGTGCAGCCTCCTCTGCTGCACCCTGTCTAGCCTCTAACACGTACAAAAACTCATGTTCTCCTAAAGCACTCTTTGGGCATTGAACCTTTATTTTAAGAGTAAAATTTTAGTAGTAGTCATCTGACTGCCCTGAGGAAGAAAAGCTGCACTGAGGAACAAAGAGCTCTTTAAGACAGTGGGGGAAAACCACTGTGATATTTTAAAACGGAGCATTACAAACACTGAAAACAAGCCGAGTAAAGAAGTGGGACAGTGAGACACACAGGGGAGCAAGCGGAAGGAGGTACAGTCAACTGCCTTTGCTAACTGCATAGAAAGTTTGCTTTATATAAACAATTCTCACTTCTAGGCTTAATCACAGCTTTCCTCTGCCACTGACCCCCATAAATAACAACAGCAACAGCAACATGAAGAACATCCCAGCTTTGGGGATCAAGGGAGGAATTTATATGCTGCATGCTACAGTATGGTCACAGACCTCCCCCTCCCAACCGCTGTCTCTTCCCCTTGCTATAACCACCCATGCCTTTGTCTGAAGAGCTGACAGGTTTAAATAGAGCATATAAAACAGTGGCTGTTTCCAAGATCCCATTTCTGCCCGGCTCGGACAGCAGGTAACAATCTTCTTTACACTCCGAGTTGCTCTTTTAAATTTCAGTTTTGATTACTTCAGGGCTGCGCCTCATGCTATGCTGCTATTTATTTTAATGAACTCTGCTTACTCTATCATTTGGTTCAAACGAGGAGCTCTTTGGAGCTGTTGTGCTAAGCACAAATTCAGGATGATACAGCAAAGTAACCTAAACGGAATGAGGCCAAACAACATGTAATCACGTCTGAGGAGGAGGGCGGGTGGGGAGCGCAGGGGATGGGAGCGGAGGAGCGGAGCCGGGGCGGACGCCGCGCGCAGAGCACACGCGGCTCGGCCCGCGCGCCCGGCCTGGCAAACGGCACCGGGAGGGCGGCTCCGGCTGAGCAGATCTGGCTTTCGGGTGGAGGGACAGCGAAAACTAGTGTCTGAACTGGAAGCTGATTTTTCGCGGGGTCGTATTTCCACGAGGGTGGGAAACCGAGCCCCAGAGGACAGGCCCAGCAGTAGACTGCTCCTTTTTTTGCGTTGCGGCTCCTCACTAGCAGAAAGCAGAGAAGGACAAAATTGGAGTAACATGGAGAAGAGAGCTAGGCAGACACCCGCTTCCTAATCTGCTCGTGTCACCTGAAGACTATGGCTCTCCACTTTGTTGGCGTGACCTCGAGTCTGTCTTCCTTACCTCTCTTCCCCGCATAACTCCTGCTCTTGACCTCTCTGCTCACTCCTGAAGTAGGCAGCACTTCTGTGATCTGCTTCTTGGGCAGAACTGGAAACGGGATAACCTTCTGCAGCGGGGATAACACTATAAATAGGTTTGGGGAGCAAACAGAGACAGAATTGAAGATAAGGCAACGTAGCCACCAGAAGATTTTGCTGCTTTTACTCCAGTAGAAAGAATGGCAGAAAGGTGCCTGCACGGGAATAATTTGTCCCAAGGCAAATCTGGATGGAGTAACACTAGTACACAGTATCTGCTTAATGTAGGAGCGTGCAAAAAGCAGAACAGAGCTAAGGCAGCCTAGGGAAGAGCAGAAATCCTGGTGGCTTTATTCCTTCCTCTCGTATACCAACCACACTCAGGGAAGCGCTTTGTGATGGTCTCCAAATTCTTGGGCATGAATCTATAACTAAGCATACCAGAACTCCCCCTGCTGAGGAGCTACCACAACCACAACTAAATATTTGGGGAATTTTTTTGGGCAGAACACTCCTCCATTGGAAAGTGCTGATTTGTTGAAACCAAAGCTTTCTGTGGAAAAAAACATCAGCTTCAATGAAATATTAGTTGGGAAGAGGTTCCCATGCTCACAGTGCAATTGCTGGTCAAAGCCAGGCACGGCTAGCATTCCTTCTGGGGTACTTCTGCACTGTGTATATATTAGAGAAAGACAGACCAGCAGACAGACATGCAGACACAAACCAGAAAGGACAACCTCTGTAATGTGGAAGGCCAGATTTAAAAGAGGTATTTGAACCTGGCCTTTCCCTCTGGACTATTACTGTATGGGGAGGGGGGAGTTCCCGTCTTAGTATCTCCCTCCTTCCAAGAAGGGGCTTGGAGGTGCGTGTTTCGTTTTTTTTTTTTTTTTCCAGAATGGGAACAAAAGCAAAAAGAAAAAAGCATTAAACTTTTTGGGAAAAAGCACCTGGCTCCCACTCTCTCTAGTTTTAACGCAAATGATACTGCGCTCACACTAGGGATTTGATAATTATTCTAGTTAAAGAAAACTAAACAAACGAACACAAACTCGTGCCCCCATGTGATAGCACCACGTTTACAAAGCACTGAGCGTGCGGATTAAGCCCGAGTTAAACTGGAAGAAGTTCTGCCTCGCCCTCCATCCCTCGACCAGGGGCCGTCTCTCCTGCAAGAGAGGACAAGGTCTCGCAGATGTTGCCTGCTGGAAAAAAGAGGATGAGGACAAGGTCTCGCAGATGTTGCCTGCTGGAATACAGTCTAGCTTAAATTCACTGTGGATCCAAGTACCAAGGAAGACCAGTCCGTGAACAAGCTGCGAGCCCACAACCACCTTGAAATGAGGCCACAGTTATGATTAAAGCTGAACTATGGCTGTTTCAAAAACCACGACAAATCTTATTGTACGTACTTCTGTTGGCCCAAAATTAGCTTCATTTGGGGATCAGCATTACAGGAATCATGTTTTTACTTCCCTCATTTGCTGTATTGCAACCACTTTGGTGGTAACAAGCGCTAATGCCTTGCCCGTGAGGGTTTGCTGATGCACAAGCGCTCCGGGGGAAAAATCCAGGGAGCAAACGACAACAATCCACCCGTTAGCCACATACAGAGCATCGAGAGGGGTTAAAGCATGCTGCTGCGTCATCAAACCTTCCCAGGCAATTACCAAAAGCAAGCAGAGACACTTTGGTCCCAGGCTGTGTTTTCCCATCAAGTTTTTGAGCTGTAAAACTCAAAGGCTAAAAAAGGCCAAGAAAATTCAAGAACCATTTGGTGAGAAGGAGGGGCTATTTGCCAAAGGGAAGGTCTGTGGAAACCAGCTCTGATCAAAACAGTAAGTAATACAAAGTTCCTCATGCCACAGTTGCCATTAGGATATTGACTTACAGCATCCAAACATCTGGGTCTGCTTGTCAAGAGTGCCATGGTTCTGTTAGCAATCTGTACACATCCACCTTCGGTACTATCCTGGACACAAAAAAAGTACATCTAGAAAAGAAATAACAAATCTGTCACCCCATGTACTGTTAAAAGATTATGTTTCTAAAATGCAGATGTCAAATGCCTGACTGAAGCCAATCACTAATTTATTGTATTTTTCCACTTGCTTTGTAAGATTTATTCTGAAAATATAAATGTCCCACTTGCTCAGATAATCCAGTCTAACTACTTACGAGTTTTGTACGAGGTTAAGGCTTGACCATAGCCTTTTGGCTAACAGTAGGAGAAAGATCCGTAGTATAGTCCTGTAAGCTTTGGTTCAGTCCCATTTTGGGTTCAGATTTTGGCACGCTTGCCATCTCTGTATTTAGAGTCACTGACACTGTAAGGCCCGTTTCTTCCTAACCCCCAGTCTAAACATTTCCTTGAAAACCTAGAAATACTCATGATAAATTAGAAGATATGCATCAAGCAGATGATCACAGAAGGCTTCATCAGATAAGCAAGAAGAATATTACTGTTACGCTGTTGTTCAACACAGAAACAAGGATTCTTTATCAGAAAAGCATCTTGCGAGTAATGCGGGCTTGCCAGTTAGAGACTCAAATTCTCTGAGCACAAACGGCTTGATAACAAGGAGAATTACTGTGCTCAGATCACTACTGCAAGGCCACAAAGAGTTGTATTTTTACTTGTTATTTCACAAAAGAAAAAAGGAACTTCTGTGCAAGGCTGCAAGTGCCTTTGCTGTAAATTATAAGAAATTATTATAAGTTTGTTTCTCCCTCTCTCTCTCTCTCTTTTTTTTTTTTTTTTTTTTTAAGAGAATCTCTCTGGAGAGAATGGCATTGCTAAAGCATTGAACAAACAAAGCAGGCTGCCTCCCAGCCATAGCACAGTCCACATACCTTCTTATGCAAGAGCAAGGCAGTTGAGTTGTGGTTGCTTTTGAAAATGGCCATAAACCAAGGCTGTACTTCGCATAAGAGCACATCTCCAAAAAATAAGTTTTTCTTTCCATTCCTTATTCTTGACCTTAAGGCAAATATAATCCCAAAGGCAGCAGTTAAATGTGAAACATGTTGCTATAGCTCCAGCTGCTTTCTGCAAAGAAGTTTGGAGGAAACCACTTTCAGTGGATTGCTCATGTTACATATTTTTGCTTTGCTCCAGCAGCAGGTGAAGTATATTTAGACAACCAGGTTAACATGGTTATCACTTCCATTCTCTTCTAGAGTCTGCTATTTCTGTACAAGTCCATCTTAGGAAGCTAGTGTGAAATAGTGTAACTCCACTGGGCTTTTTTGGAATAACATTAATCTACACCAGTTTTGATTTTCAGAGTTATTCTCTAACTACCAATAAGATGCGCAGAAACAATTATGAGAGATGTAAGGAAAATACTCGCATCTTTCTGTAGCGGTCCCATATTTTGTTGATTTACACACTGCTTGCCTATTACCACTAGTTTGCCCTCACAGTATCCTAACTGAGCTGGAGGAGCAGTTCTTGCTGTGATGATCTACCACTTTGTGTGACAGCTGTATCTGAAATTACACTAGAAATAGAGATTTACTGCAGAGTAGCAGCAAGCAATCCTTAGTACTGAACCTGCAATCCTTACTAAGCTGAACTTCCCATGGGATTTTCACTAAGGTGTGCAGCACTCAATTTAAAAGGTCATGCACAAGCAGAAACATAACGAGGGCATATGCTGGTAGAGACTCTTGTAGTCCTGAGAATACTCCAGGAATTATTAACTATAACATCATACACTAATCTAAGGATATCAGGAGTTAAACTCACTCTACAAAGAGCAGAAAATAACTGTTATTTTGCTCTGTTCCCTTATTTTCAGCTAGATATTTTCCCATCCATTATTTTTTTCAGAACAAAATGAGAAACACTCTTCCATCCAAAATAAATGTGATATTTAAAAAATATTTTCCTCATCTAAATCGGGATGAAAAATTCAGCTTCAATATTTTCATTGAAACTGTTCATTTTGCTTTTATCTTTTTCAGTTTAGAGTTCCATTCACATGCTTCAAAGACAGCATAGTTTATAAAATAAATTATTCAAAGGAGATGGATGGTTCAACAATTTTCGGGGGGGGGGGGGGGGGGGGGGAGGAGACAAAATGTGCTAGGATAGCCTCAGAACAAGCCCTCTCCTAAAACAGCTTTGGATTTGGGGAATTGGTGTTTTACAACATGGACATTTCAAGCAGAAATTCCTGATTAATTCCTTCCAGTAACCTCTCAGGAAGAAGCATCCTCTTACCATCTACGAGCCTGGAATTACGGTACGAGTAGGCTGTAGCATGCTGGAGACAGGTATGTGCTCAAAGCCACCTGCCTCCTCCTCCATCATGACTCACCCTGGCAACCTCAAAGGAAGCACTGAGGAAAAGGCTTGTCGTCACGTCACCCCAATATCCTTTTGAACGCTCTACAACCAGGATAAGGAGAGTGCATTAAGAGGCTTATACCCATTCCAAGTTTTCTTGCTCTTTATCCGTGTGGATGATACACGCTGAGTTAAATTCATTCTTTAGAACGCGGCTGTATGTGAAGCTATGTTCTTTTCCCAAGGATGCAAGGGATGAGCACGTAGTGGATCTTGAGGTTCCACTAGTCACTGGTGTACGTTGCCATCATAACACTAAGGTGCCATGAAAATGATAGCTTCAATTATATTTTCATGATGAGAAATTTCCACTAAAGATGATTTAACAATGCGTTATACTATTTTCCAGAGTTAACGCCAATGACTTGTAAAACGGTAATATTGTAAAATCTCGTGCAAGAGAACAAACCAGACCTAATCGCAACCTCCAAATGTCCGCATTGCAGTTTAGTTTCTCCTCTCCCCGCTCCTGCAAATTTCAAATCCACAAAAAACAATGCTGCAACCTGCACCCAAATGTAGGATGTACTACTCACTCCTGCATCCACCTGTTCCTTCTCCAGGCAGATGCACACATCATCTCTCTGCATGGCTTAAACTCTCTCTCTCTCAGTATGGGCTTGCCTACTTTTATCACGTTGTACTATGCAGCAGAAAAAAAAGGACGCCTAAAAATCTTTACAGAAGACAAATGCAATTATTAGATGAGTAGAGAGAATGGAAAGAAAAAAAAAACATTAGTAACACCTACACAATTACGTAGTTCCAAAGACTTGCCAGATGAGCATCAATATACTTCTAAATCATCACTTTTGCAGTAGATCCGATGAAGAGAAGTTTATATAGTCCGATGACAATGACGTGAACACTCCCCTACATATTTTAAAGTCAAAGTGTCATCAAGGATACCCTGTCAAATCCTCTGTTTGAAAGCGTCATTCAACTCTGTAGGAGACATCTTTCTCCTCTTTTTCACAGCCGGCATACATTGCAAACCACAGTCTTTAGCTCTGTCTCCCAGAACAACAGACAGGTGGGCTATATATTATATTCTGCCTTGTTACTGTTCATTTAAAAAAAATGAAGGAAGAAAAGAAGGCACGCATGAGTGTGAATTGGACAGATTAGACACCTAAAGCCATACACATCAGGAATACATCTGCTTTTAGTGATGTGCTTACAATTCGTCTCAGAAACTATACTAGGAATACAACATTGAGAAAAATCTCACACGCCTACTCACATCAAATACAGAAAAGGTTTAGCACTTCTTAGGTTCAGGCCCTGAAGACAATATAATTGCTATAAATAAATGATGGCAAAACCAGTTATTCCATTGTGTCAGCCACAGAAATGTTTCTGACGCCACTCTGTGTGTTATATTGGAGAAAGTCAAAAATTTTTCATGAAACTTTTTATTAGAAGAAAAAACCAACAGCTAGCTTTGCAGTGATAAAAAGCTGGTTTTCTGCAACAGCTTTGGGGTAGTTCTTTTTTTCCTGGTTAAGAAAAAAATAAGTCCTAAAGTGTTGGTGGAAATGGAAATCATGTGTTTTCCTGCATAACCATGAATTGTTTTCTACCAGTGCTAATGCAGATCACTCTAGTGGGTCCAAGCACGCATTTCTTCAGAAAGTGGATCCATCTTGGGAGGAAGGGAGATGTAGAAGGGTCAGCACAGGCACAAAGGGCAAAATCTCAGCTGCATTCTTATAAATGTTATTAGCATTAGGTGAATGTGGTGAGATGGAAAACCACACTAAGTTTTATGTCCTTTCGGTATTAAAAGTTACGCATAAACATCTGTCTTTGAGGACAGATGGCAGCATTTGCTCCACTAGCCTACAGAGTCACTGTGGTTTTCTCCCAACCGAACAGGAGCTGCTGGATACTTGCAAGCAGTCCAAAGAAAGATAAGGCAGGATTAGAGCCCGATAAATGCAAGAGAGTTAACTAATCACTTGGCCCGCGGCTCCCAATCTCGCCTCTCCTCCCACTCCCTGGGGACAGAAGGGTCCTTTCATCACGTACCAACGGGTAATAATCTAGATGAAGACAGAGGGAGTGAATTCTGCTGTTGCGACAACCATGGAAAAAGCCAAAGTACATTGGAAAGCTGAAGATGAAATACCTTTCCTCCTCTTCACTGCAGAAAGCATATACTCCCCACACACCCTATCAACAGAAAACTAATACTGACCACAGCCAGTGCTCCCAGGGAAATGCTCTGCTCAGTGAGCAGCCAGCCAAGTCATATCCCTGCCTCTGCATCTGACTTCAGCTGCTTGCAATGGTCTATTACCTTCACAAGCAACAGACACAAGAGCTATGTAGTATCTGGTTTTAAAAACCCTCTGTCAAGACTATATAATCTAACAAATGCAATAACAAATGCAGGTCCCACCGACTAATCCTCCCCAGAGCAGCGTTTAGAAGGAAACATAGAGCTCAGGCTTTATATTTATGTTGTTGGCTTAATCTACTGGATATTATCAAGGCCAAGTTGTAATCTTCCTCAAAAAGGTTACCCCTCCCTCGCAGGGCAGAACTCCCTTAATTTCACTGGGACTAATATTTGGCTCTCTGAGCATAAACTACAAAGTAGCAGCCAGGCCACACTGCTGCAGCTCCTACAGAAA